TTTAAAAAAAAAAAAAAAAAAAAAACGATAGCGTGACACTGTAGACGATATTACATTCAAATTAAATGTCGACGCATAATACCGTGTTTGAAATATTATCACGTCATAACCGCGCCGTTAGTTAAGTTCCCGTGCTACACGTGTGACGCACCTACTGTTATACACTATGCTCTAAAATAGTTAAAAACCAAAAAAACTATACAAAGCGTATAAATTTCAATAAATTATAACTACTCGTATCTAACAAATTCGAAATTTTCTTGCGATTAATCATATTTTAAACACTTCGAACGTTTCGTTATGGCCGTTTCAATTTAATTTCGGTATAATCTCGCAACGTCTATTTCTACATAAACAGTTTAAACCGCGGTGTATATAATACAGTGACAGTCAAAATACATAATATACTATATCGACTATTACAGACACATATGCAAATGTGAATAGTCAGATGTATCTAGTGTCTGTGCTACGAAATACATAAATAAATTTTAAAATAAAACATTCGTCTTTTGTTAAACATTTTTCTGAAAAATATGACGTAGTCTTTACCCCCCCCCCCCCCAAAAAAAAATAATAATAAGTAGCCGCCCCTGGATTCGGTTATCGGAACGATTGCGGTAAACGATATCGCTAAAACGGTTTGTTCGCTAAACTATAATAACAGGTAACGATACATAAAATCGAGTTACTGAAGACTAGCACCGCCAAAACACGCCTAACTTTTAAGTATACGCGATACGTTATAAAGTATAAATCGCTGCAGCGCGTGCCGTTATATATTCAAAATGTTGTGCAATATATTTTAATTCGTAATTAATTTTATGTATTTACGAGATAGATCGTATTAAAAAAAAAAAAAAGTTCGCTCAAACTTGTAATATTAAATCAGAGAGGACTTGTTAAACGAATTAAGTACACTGAAACGGGACAGTTTATTTATGTGTAGGTATAAACGCTGTGAGTGTACGCATTAATTATCTACTGCGATACTTTAGAAAAAAAAAAAAATAATAATAATAATAATAATAAATTCTCACTGCGATAATTATAATATATTCTGTAACTCGCTCAACTCGTGTTTGGAGTTTAACGTTATTAACAAGTCGAATTACGTTTATATATCCACATAAAATTAAAAAACTTATAATAGAGTTACGAGTTTATTATTGAATTAATTAATCATACGTCATAACATTAGGTGCAATAATTATCTCTACCGGGTTTGTTAGGCACACGTATATACATGAAAAAACGTGTGTCTTATGTAAAATTCCGATATCTGTTATAATAAGTTATTTCAATTTTAATTGCCGGTTCTCCATCCCCTCGACACGTAATTTCTACACGGACAATTTTAATCGATAATAATTATATTATATCGACGTTTCGAACGTTTCACGAAAATTGAATAAGTCATGTATAAGGTAATCTAGCTGTAATACGTATAATATATAATGTGGGGTGTCCAGGGCGCAGCGCCGAAATTTGTTCACTCGACGCTCGACGTCTGTGGTTTTATCATTTTTGTCGCCGTCGTTCCCATTTATCGTGTACATATAATAGTGTTTTTTTTTTTTTTTTGTAAAGTTTCGTAAATGTTTCCGTTACGGCGTAAATGATATATTTTCGCGGCAACCGGCAATATGGCCGGCTAAATCCTGGGATCTTACGCCGTGCGGTTTTTTTTTTTTTTTTTGTGATTAGTTTCTAAAGTCGAAAGTGTTACGCAAACAAACCGTTCGGGGTTCCGGGATTTCGGAATTAAAGGCAGACAATCCCAAGAGTTACACTGACGTGAAACAGCCGGGTGTTGTGAGCGAGTTATCGATGTCACGTCCCTATAGGTGGCCATGTATCGGGCGTTTCATATACCGAGATGTTACTAAACAAAGAAAAAAAAAATTAAATTTTGAACGTTTTAAAGACCAAAGATCGGCGCTATAGCTATGTTGGACACTCTCATATAATATAATATAGATATACCGAACCGTATCGGGCGTATTTGATGTTTAACGTTTATTATTTTTCTTACGTAGGTAGGGTATATTATACACTATCGGGTATACTTTTTCTATGATACGACGGAGGACGCCTCTTCCGCGTGAGATTTTCGTTTATTTGTTTGCGCGTTTAAAACGTATGAGATACGAAATGTATAATTATAATATTTATAAGCCCTGACGCGGGTATGTATAATACGTATTTATGGAAACGCGTTTGTACAGGATACCACGGTGTATACAATAATGTAAAAGAGTAAGAACAAACAGCGCGCGCGCGCGCGCGCGGATATAAAGGAAAAGAGGATAATATTATTGCAGAAAAAAAAAAAAAAAGAAAAGAAAAAGTAGGTAAAGATACGAGCGTTTCCGTCACAAACATAATATTTATATGTATGTGTGTGTGTGTGTGTGTGTGTGCGCGCGCGCGCCCGGAATGTCAAACGGCTGCAATATAAATCAGTCGGCCCACAGTTGGTTGTAATAATAAAGGACTTTTGGTCGTTTTGGTGAAATTATTATTACGGCGCGCACTAAGTGGTGTCTGAAATTCGGAATGCCGAGAATCCCGAACATCCCGACAGTATAACAAACGGCAAGTAGAGAAGATCCAGAGCGCATCAGTCCATGTATGGGTATAACGCTCCGTATTATTATTATTATTATTATTGTTATTATTGTTATCATTATTATACGCGGACTATTGTTGATTAGAGCAATCCGTTTCGGGCGTCGTGTTTTCGGACACTGCTGAAAACGTTTGGTGAAACGGTCGACGTGCGCGCACGGCATTATAATATAGTGATAATAGTAATGGTCCCCCGAAGGGACAATTTTACAATATTATTTTGCGTACCTCGGCGAATGAGTTAGAAAACGGCAAAAGGACGAAAAAAAAAAAAATAATAATAATAATAACAACAATAATAACTACAGGTATAAATATACGCGTTTTCAATGGCAAAACCTATTAAGATTAATCGTCTTTTTCCTACCCGTGTACCTATATACAATAATAATAATAATAATAACAATAATAGCGAGTAATCGGTATTTTAAAAGGGGCATTTTTTTTTTTTTCTTCTGCAGTGATAGTGAAATCCTGTACCCATAATAAATACCGAACGAAACACGGAACGCGACACGGGGTCTATTCACATTATTTCCGAGTAATTCTGTAGAGAAAAAAAAAATGGAACACTCCATACATCCTCGTATCGACGAGGGATATTTTATTATGTTTTTTTTTCGCACAATGTTGTTTACGATTTATTTTTTTTTTTTTATGAAAATAATTATAAGAGATCTCTTATTATAGTATATTAAAAGTGTCCGGCGTTGAAATAAATCCTAACGATATAGTTTATCAATCCAATTGTGTAGAAAAAAAAAATGTACTCCATTTACTCTTCATCTATATACTTAAATATTAAAACGATAATAATTATTGACCTTGTCCGACGACGAATATATATTTAAAAAAAAATATAAAAAAGCCTAATAGTAATCCGACACCGATAATGAAATTGTCGAACTCAACGTGCATGGCAAATCGTTACGTCGTATTTTGAAGTAGGTATTAATAATTTGCAATGTATTTGATTTTAGACTCCGAGTGAATTTGTATTAGTTATTTAGGGGGTATCCATTTAAACCCCAGAATGCGGGATTTTACGGATATCGACGTCCGGAACCGTACACATTTGTAAAGTAACATGTTTGTATTATTAGGTATATACTTGTAGTTATCTAAACTAACTAAACTATTTTCGTTAATTATATAATTTCGTTGAAATTCAAACATTTTACTTTCTAGATTTCGATATATGTAAAACCATAAATTCCAAATTTGTATGCGTTCAGGATTTGTACGTTTCGCCGTCATGTAGGTAAGAATCCTACGACGATATCAATCGCCAAAAACGCCGCCGTAGCCGCGGTTTCCAAGACCTATACCGTAATTTGATTTTGACTTCACGTGCAGACTCTATAGCCTTCATAATAACATACAATCGTACGGTCTGTAGAACAAGTGCAAGAAAAACTGCTCGTGAGAATTTTTTATTGGTTTATTTTTACGGGAAGATTTATTATCAAAATCAAAAATATTACTCATATAATAAAATTAAAACATTTTAAAGCGAATATTCATTAATAATCATTATTATTATTACTATTATTTTAAATTATATAAATTTATAATTTATAATTTTATATAAGTTATATTTTATTGTTATCTATACAAATATATTGTGAATTGGACTTTTGTCCGTATTAATAAATAAATAAATAAATAAATAAATAAATAAATAAATACGAGGCGAATCTACTATAGTAGAGAACCGACAGAAATTACGGTGTCGAGTACCGCGTGCAGAGTTCATGGGCTTGTGGTTTAACGTAACATTATGGCGCGTAAACTGCGTGTTGCAGACCAAACTTCGCCCAGAATCGTTTTTCGTTTACGGCTACGATTTATTCCGCGAATATTTGTCTTTCCGTGTACAGAATATGATTCGCCGTCTCATTCGTTTCGATACACCTACTACAGTATTATTATAATGCAATATAGACCGTATATACACGAATAATTCGCGTGTTATGACTGCGTGAAATTCGTGTTTTTCCGACGCTTTATCCTGTGTAATATACCGCGGGTTATGCTTTACATCACTATGAAATACACCCGATATTCGAACCCGAATGATAAAAATCACGTTCCGCGAATAAAACGTTACAGTATTATTGAAAACGTTCGTCCGTACGTTTATATAGTTCGGTGTAGATACACGTGTATAATATGCGATACACATAAAATAATATCGTATCATTTCGTATAAAAAAATAATAATAATAATAATAATAATAAAAAAAAAGCACGCGGACAACCGTGCCGCAATGGCGGTTCCCATATTGTATAATATTATAAATTATATACACTCGCTTATTATATTCGGCGGTTCGCATTACACAGCTCGAGGTTGTTTGTATAGCATTATTATTATTTTCCTCAAACTCGAGTGGGTGAAAATTTCCCGGTGAATTCTCGACGCACAGTTATTATATTATTATTATTATTATTATTATTATTATCATCGTCGTCGTCGTCGTCGTCGTTATAACAACCGCAAAAGTGCGCGGAATTTCGTATAATTAATTTTTCGTTTCGTATTATTGCAATATTATATTCCGTATACGGGGGGAAAAAATCACTACCGAGTCGATTCTAAAGAGGAAAAAACGATTCGAAATCGAAAAAAAAAAATAATAGAAATAATATATCGAGGTGGTCTGCGCCTCGGGTGTCGTCTCTATAGTGAAAAACGAAATACCGTCGTCGCTTATTACACTGCAACAGCAACACGTGTCTCGCAATTCGTTAAAATCGGAATAAAATATTAACATCGGTATGGTTAATAAAACAAGACAGTGTTTCCAAAAATCTTTTGTTCTGTAATTTCTCACCGTCGTTAGACTCCCTGTTATACCCTCCATAAATCGCAAAAACGACAACACCACTCGTATCATAACCTAATCTATCAACCAATAACTGATGACAATGTTATAGCGTTGTTTTCTAAAATGTTTTTTGATTATCCGGTTAAATTGGAAAAATTGAAATTCGCGCCGTTGCGGTATTATAATATTTTATTTGTATCGGAATAGAACTGACCAAATACTGCAAATATTACCGCGTTTACATTACACTGCGTTCGAGCTAATTATTCAAATTGTTCGTTAAATATTTGAAATACCACACAAGTTGAGGGGATTGGGTACCGCCGGATATTTTCCACGCGCCATATTATACGCTTCAGCATATTAAATTATCAATTCGGACTGATTTCCCTTCAAAATCGGTTCAACCGATACGAATTCTTTAATTACAGATTAAAATTATTCAGCGTGAAGTGTACAAAATTAACGAGATCTATTATCGGGCTACTTCATTTTAGTTATTTTCTTTTATATACATACGCTGCTCCTATAAACATTTTTGGACTGCATTATAAGGACTGAAATTCGAAAAGGTGGTCCGGAATTTCTTGTAAATATATACAAACGAATAAATATTCAAACAAGTTAATAGCTTATTAAGGTAAAAAAAAAAAAAAAAAAAAATTAAGTTTATTTTAATATTTAGTGATTTTATGACGATAAATCTATTTTTCATTCTCGCAATATTTGCTTGTGTCTGAAAATTGCTGACTTCATTGTTGCTGCAGTTTTCAATTAAAACGTTTCTATGTTTTTATTATTATATATTAATACAATTAAGTCTAAAATTCATAAAAATCAAAAAGTAAGTTAAAGTAATGCTGATTTTTTTTTTTTTTTTTTTTTTTTAAGAACACTTTGTAGTTACTGTTATTGTTGTTGCGTGTTTAAACATATATTTTCAACGTGTATTCGCAAATATAAATGTATTAATAAATATTATAGTATTAATTCTCATCAGATTATCGGTTGTTTATCTATGGTTAATTATATCTTAATAAAAAATAAGCGCTCTCTCGTGGTTTAGGTAAAATTGATTATTATAATTATTATCTATCCATATTTTATAGTAGGTAATATAAAAAGAAATGTCTGTTGGTCTATGCGCGTTCCACAGTAGAGTTTATCGCACACAGAGGTGAGAAAATTGCAACACTGGTAACGGACGATCTGATCCTCAAAGCCAGATTTCCGAAATCCAGTCCCTCAAAGTCTCATACAGGGTTTCTGGTTGTTTTTGTGATACATACGTAAATTGCATTTTTATTATTATTATTAATTTTTAATCATTATTATTTGTTGATTACTTTAGTGACACAGATGAAAAAAACAGTTATTGTTGGTTAATTTATATTTATCACCGGGCAAAGAAGTAGAACAACAGTTAACTTTGATAGGAGCGGAGTACACGTTAAATTAATTTTAGTAATGTCGGTTTTATAAAGAATTTGTTTTAGAAAATCTGCTTTTAAACGATCAAGCAAATGGAAAAAATTAAACTGGTAGGGCCGACCCTGGGAGGACAGCCAATTGTATTATATTTCAGAAAAAATCAACGGTGAAAAGCAATTTTATTAATAGGCGTATTCGAATTACACAAAACGAGACTTGATTGATTTTTTTTTTCAAGATTGTATCGTTCTGTTTTAATCTTTCATCGTGTTGCAGTGTATAAACATCAGCAATAAAAAAAAAAAAATAAATAAATACTAATAACTGTCGAAAATGTTATTTGTGAAACATCCATGTTCATGACATTTTTTTTTTATTTTTACCATCTCATCTGTTTAATATATTCGGATTTGGACAGCCTTCGTGATTATATTACAACTTCAATAATTGTCACTGTAATTTATAATTATATAACATATCACGTTACTGCAGCGGTGGTTACGTTGAAATGTCAAAACGATGTTTTTATTTTTTATTTTAAAATAGAGATTATACATGGCAACTGGTAACTGTGTATTATGTTATAATCTGTTTAACCGCAACAGCAATAACAGATGTTATAGAATATGTATTAATTTGTTGTTAACTGATAACTTAAGTTACAAAACTTATGCGTATAAAGTTATAATGCTGACCCGACAATGGTTTGCTATTACTAGATAATAATGTGAATAATAGTAATAATTGTAATAATAATAGTTTTCTCGTTCGTGCCAACCACCTGATCATGCATGTTACCAAGGTAACCTATAAATCACAAATAAAATTTAATTTAACGTTCCAAAAATACCAAAAACCCTCAAGTCCTGTTATAGCTTTCTCGTCCGGCGTTGCCCGGGTAAATTTTTTTGTTATTTCATCCGTATCGCCAAGGTGTAACCCGACCCACGAATAAACAAAAAATAAATAAATAAACAATTAGGTATTCGTACGTCAAATACCTAAAGAGACCTATTTAACCCACTTAAAGGTTGAATTTTCAAAAAACTTTTTAACGGATGTCTACGACATAAAAGCATATGTATGCCAATTTTCAGCTCGATCCATTCATCCAGTTGTTTGGGCTGGGTGAAGACGAATCAATCAGTTTGTCAGTCAATCACTCAGGACATTTCATTGTTTAGGTTTATATGGATAATATACTGATATTATACACTATACAGAATGTCCAACGAATATATACCCAATGTAATATCTCCGGAGACAATAAAGATAATCAAATTCTGTTTTTTTTTTTTATATATATATATAATACCCACAGGGATAAAGAATACAAATAAATTAATTTATTATAAGTTTTTTATCAAAGCATAACAAATTAGTTGCAATATAAATATTTTTAGTCATTATCCCTGTGAATTATATATATATATAACTCACAGGAATTTGATTATCTTTATTATCTCCGGAGATATTGCAACGGGTATACCGTATACTTCGAGTTTACTTCGTGTGACACTCTGTACATACACATTTATTTAAACGGACGAGAATCGCACGTTTTCGACACTTCGACAATTTGTATTATAGCTATTATTCAGATGAATTTGCTATTTTCACGGTTCTCGCTCGCGTTCTTTATATTAATATAAATCCGTCTATGAATCTATATTTTCGCGGGCGGTATCGGCTAAACGTATTGTTAAACGTTTAAACACGGATTCGGGGTCGGCCGTTAAAATACGACAGTACGCGGAACAAAATTATTGGTGAATTTCGCCGACCGTAAAAAAAAACCCAACGGCGGTTTTGTTCGGTCAACGCGTTTTTTTTCCCCCCCTCGTTATAATATTTTCATAGAACCGTCCATCGGCGACGGAAACGGAAACGAACAATGCCGTTGCAGATTCGAAGGAATCGCAGGAAGTTATATCGCGGACCAGTCGATGTGTTTTTAATACAATAATACAAAAAATAAAAATATATACGGTTATTAGCTGTTTATTTTTTGTTATAACTTAATCGTATACACGCGAGACGAAATCGACATGGTCTAAGTCAAAAATATTTTATGCTATACGATTTTAAGGTTATTTTTTCTTTGGTTTTATTGGAATAGTCGAAATCCCGTGTAAGTTAATCACATCATATGCCGCGTTGTTCTCGAACAATTATTATTTACACATTACCCGTCGGTGTCTGGGCGATCTTTGTTCAAATGCCTTACAATGCGGTTTCAATAACGAAATCAATTCATTTGTCGTCGAACACCGCACAAAACACGAATACTAAACTCGAAAATCCTTCCGGCGGCGATTCGTGCAGTGTGCGTCATCGGCCGGCCATAAAATAGTTGTCGTGACGTCCTATTATGAAATATTATAATCGGTCGTTGTTCTCCCCCTTTTTGTTTTCTCGACATTTTCCACCGGCTCTTTCTACACACATTGCTCGACATCGTAACAATATATTCTCTCGTATAATATCGTATAGATTCAGCAGCGTTCCCCAGAGACGTAGCTATAGCAATATTTGTCTGGGTAGACCAGATAAAATAACAATTTTTGATTATAAAATTGTGTTAATTTTCGGAGTAAAGTGGTTAGACCCGGGCCTACCTGCTGGCCATGTCACTGGTGTTCCCAGTGTTCCACACCATTATTATTATTATTATTATTATTTTTTTTTTTTTAGAGTTTATTATTTCTTATTGTAACTTGCATGGAATATTTTGTATCTTAGCTACGGTTTATTGGTACCTACTGTCCATAGGGAAATATATATCAGATTAGATATAGACGAATTGAAATTTAAAACTACTGAATTCTAATTTTTAAAATACAATTATTACTAAATTAAATACAATTCGTATTGTTATTATGGTTTTAGTGGCATAAGTGATAAGAAACGGCAATGATAATAATATATCATGACGATTTTGTTTGTCTGAAAAACTAATTGGAGAGTATGTGGCGGATGTTCATTTTTTCTGAGAGGGATATTGAAACATTATATTATGTACTTTAAAGTTGTCTGTTAATAGAAGGCTTTTTTTATACGAGATTTTATTTAAATTATATCGGTGTCTGATGGGGGAGGTCTTGACCCCTGAATCCCTTTTGATCCGTAAATCCGCCACTGAATATACGTTTCTAGCGTATCTGTGATTTTTCGATAAAATGTCGAAAGTATGACAGTAAATGCGGATGATAAATATCTGGCCGCGATGATAATACGAGTATAATATTATTATTATCATCCGACAAAACAAAATATTATATTGTCGTCTCGCGGGCTCGTGTCGCCCACTCTGTCATAAAACATATAATAATAATAATAATAATAATAGGCGAACCGACGACAGGACTATTAAATGGTAATTTTTTTTTTTCTTCGCGCGGTCCTTTATCTTATCAAAAAAAAAAAAATAATAAAAAAAAACCATCGTCGTACAAACAATTTTTCCCCTCGTCGTCGTCGGTAATACGATAAAATGATTACGCGTACAATATTATAATATCGGTTTTAATATTATAATAATATTCTCGGGGGCCTTATCAAGAGGAGGTTTTGTGGGTATACGTCGACGACGACCAGGCGACCAGATATTCCGCCGCATGATAGACGGCGGCGGGGTAAACATATACACGAGATAACGATCGAGATGAACCGAAAATAATAATAATAAACCCGTTGAAAATATTATATTATGTAAGGACCCCAGACCGGGTTTTTTAGTGTACACGACCTATAATAATAATATTATGTAGTATAAAGTATAATAATGCAGCCGTATTATAATAATATGTGCACAGTGCAGTGGGCGATAAATGATAATCTCTTCTCTCTATAAGCCGCGCGCGTCATACACGCCCACGTCGTTGTTCAAAAAACAAAAAAAACATTTTTTTTTTTTTTTTTCACTTTTTCTCTATTTCACTGGCGTATTTATAGTATGCGTATAGCGTATTATCGGAAAACAATACCGCGGAGGAAAGTCGTATGGTTCGGCTGTCGGTTTTGGCCGCTTTGTATACGACGAGCCGTGTATATTATGAAAAAAACCATCAGCTGCTGTATATATATCTACAGGACACGATTCTTTATTATCATCATCACGAACCCGTGGCGACGATTGTCTATTATACGAAATAGATTTCGATATTTTTTTTTCTTTAGATGTTTTACTATCGATTCATTATTTAATCGTTTAATATATTTTATTTATAGTTTTAAAATTGTAAAATATTGTAAAAAAAAAAAAATCATTGCAAACAAAAATACCATTCTGCATAAATGCATGCGTCTAATTGTTAGGCTGGCAGTATAGTAGTGTAGGTCACTGGCTACTAGTGTACAGTAGTCCCGGCCGCGTATTTTTCAAATATACGTCTGTTCAATACCTCTATGCTCCGATTGGCCCGTTTGAATTGCCGCGATACCGAGCTTATCATAAAGCTCGGGCGATTCGATTTTCGGCCAATGGACGCGTGTGCGTTCAGGGTACGGTTCGTTTCGCCCGTCGACCCATGCCGGACTTTTAATAGAAAATAAACCCCGATTTGTTGGCAAAATCACGTCGGGTTGGTGAACAGGAAACGGTAACAAATTAGATCCACTGAAATATGATTGTCTGCGGGTAGGAACTCGATAACGCGTGAGCGGCGGGAAACGTGTCTATAAAATCCGTTGATAATACGTGTTATTATATGGGTTCGTTGTGTATTATCTATGATGAGATTACTTGTTATTTTACGATAAGGCGGCTAAATTACGATAAGCATTCCAGTGCTGGGAAAACGCGCCAATTCAAACGGGCCAATCGGAGTATACATCGGTTATGAACAGACCTACATTCGCGAAATGCGCGTCCCGGCCGGCGGCGGTGCGACGAACGTAAATCGATCTACATAATATTTAATATTATCGCGTCGAATCGAATATTGTGCGGTTCGTGACTACACGGGTACACAATACACACACGCACACATATCTTATACTTGCCAGCGATTTATAATAATTTATTGTAGCCGACGCGGTATATATTGTTATATAGAGCAAAAGTCGTGTCGGGAAAAAGATATTATATCATATACCTGTATACAGGGTGATTCTTTTGTCGTTCAGCATTATGATTGTTTAAAAAAAGTCGAATTTTTAGACTTTTTTTTTTAAATTTAAGCAGCTCTAGGTAGTTTTTTCACTCCCGAAAAGTGACCTGTTTGTTTCTTAAATTCTCGAAAAAAAAAAAAAAATTATAAAAATTAAAAAAAGTCATAATGTGCATGCAAAACGAATTCTAATGTAACCCGAAATTATAAAGTATGTTTGTATGAATGAATACATGATGAATTTGTAGCGATTATTCCAGCGCTCGAAATTTAAAAAAATAATACATTTTTTCTAACACTGACCTAATACGATAACCGTTGTTTGTTATACTGTAAACTATATGATATATTCAATATCAATCGGTAGCGTTGTCAATACGAATTCACGAATTCATCTGTTTAAGTACAAACAATGGTTTTGTATTTTTTTTATCGTCGATTTATCAGTATTTTGGGGCCAAATAAGGTATAAGGACGAAGTCTCCACGAGTCTGCTCACCCAGAAAAAAAGAGGTAATCCGAAAAATGATAAAAATAGGACCCGTGTTCAACGGTAAAATAATCACCCGGTATATAGCTTCTTTTCTCTCCGCTTTTCAGATATTCGTGTCGGCGATGAGCAGCCGAGCGTGATGTTGCATAGAGTTTATTACAATAATATTATTATTATATCGCGTATATTATCATAATAGGCATAGCTGTTGTTATCGCCACAGAATGAAATCAAAAGGGACACTCTTAATGTAATCAAAAATACGACGGCCATCTTCTCAGCGTACAGTGTTTTAGCAGCATTATGATAACGACAAAATTTAAACATCGTAACTACACGTTATTAATGTGCATACAAACGGAACACGGCGCACGGTTGTAATGTTTTGTTCATATTTTTTTTTTTTTAAGCGTTTAATTTCAAAAAATGCTTATCGTTTAGATATGAATGGCAACTCCGGTTGTTTTCTCGCCAACTGCGGCGGCGAATGTTGCGATTTTTTCCACCTGCTAATATATCTTGCCCTTATCTCCTCCGATAATGAAGTATATTAATTAAAAACAATTAATCAGTCCTGTTCTTCAAGCTGGTTTGAAAATTAAAACGCCTGTGGGTGGGTTTTACAAGCGCACAATTGTCCAGGTATAATAATTTATGTTAATATATCTTCAAAAAAAAAAAAAAAAAAATCTAAAATTTTTCCGCGTTTCTAATATTGCTTTCGAGAAAAATGTTATTTATTTCGGTGATAAATACAGGTGATACGGCGGTAATTTTTATCGTGCGCGATACGTCCGCGTTAATTTCTATCGGCGTCCTGCCGGCGCGCTATTGCCCCGGCATCAATTTTTAACATTCGCCAACGAGCCGAACATTACACCTGTCCCAATATCGTAGGACGGGCGTTATTTTCAATATTCCCGTATAATACGCGTGCATAGATACATGCAAAACCGCGCTAATATTACTAATCACTATCGTCGAAGTGTTTCGCCGCCGCCGTTGCAATTTATAGTCTGCGTTATATCGTTTATTATGTTTTCCGACGTCTCCGCGCAGTATTATTCCGGTGAAATATGTACGAAATTTAAATACCGGGCCGACTTTCTACGCGGGGCCCGTCCTCTTTCTGTTATTACAACATACCCGCGCCAGCTCCCGCGCCCCCCGAATCTAAATCGTATACGTATTATACACACGCGCGCGCGCGCGCGCACACAGACACAGACACACACACACAGACACACAGACACACACGCACGCACACACACACACACACACACACACACACACACACACGATACGTACCGCAGGTACTTAAACGTAGATATACGTCGTCGGATATAATATTGCATCGGTATGCGCGTGCGGTCGGCGAAGACCCACGATGCACCGCAGTACATGCGTACCTATTATACCTCTCGCGCGTCCCGTGCGCCCCCCACCCCCCGTCCGCCGTTTAGATACTCCGAATATCCCACCGCCGTCGTCATGCCCGCGTATTACATTATTATTATAACGGTAATAATATACGGACTTTATCGCCGTCCTTCCCGCGCAACCGTCGAGTTTTGTACTTTCGTCATTTCCACGTCTGAACGGTCTATACAGGTTGTCCCGCGAAGATGTACGCCTCGAATATATCCGGAGATAATAGAGATAATCGCATCCTGTCATTTTTATATCACTCGCGGGGATGAGGACCGCAGATATTTATATTTGAATTAGATTGATTTTTTTTTTTTTTTACTGCGTATATTTTTATCTTCGTGGGACAGCCTGTGCACAATATAAAGCAGCCGTTCGGAAAATTCGATTCGATCTGCACAATTCGGGCGGGACGTTCTCAGCCGTACACGTCATCGAGTTCCGACTTCAGCACCGAGAAACCGAATAGGAAAGATTTCCTTCCGATCCCGAATCGTGAATGCGCCCGCCGTGATTTTTTCGGAGTAGGAGGCACCTGTTTTAGATTTCGAAAGTTTGCCGTTGACATGGCGATGGCGGCCGCGGCGGGATCTCCGTTCCTTTACGCCACGGCACGAGTACCGTTTATTTTCTCGTTGTTGTGAGATATCGCTCTTTAAAGCGGCGCTACCAACTTTATACGATTTCCCCTCTAACCTATAATATAGTGAACGGGCGTTGCTTTCCGGACGATTCTAGTACAGAGAATTCGATAACCCGCTGTACGGTATCGCATCTGCAACGGCGCGTTTACGATTTTCCAACAAATTTGAAATTATCGAATTGCTCGTTTCGTAAATTGTCCGGAACAAAAGAAATACCGTAAAATCTCAATGCTTCCCGAGACAACGAGAGTGCAGTCTTATCAAGAATTGATCACCCTGTATACGTAATATTATTATATACGCGTGCACGAACGCGGCGGCCGTTAATTAATTCACACTACGGCGCGTCTACGGAATATCCGTTTTCGCTTTACCGTATAGCGCGCGCGTATAATTTCACGTGCATTTGTCGTTTTTTTTTTTTTTTATTATTATTATTTCCAGTAAGCCTACGCGACATAATAATAATATTATAAGCGCGTTTATAAATAAATAATATTCTCAATTCGAATCGTGACGTATGCGTCGATATTATCATAATAGTATAACACGCGCGCGTTTTGCGGATGCTTCGGATGCGTGATTTTTTTTCAATTTTTTTTTTTTTTTTTCTAATCCACCGCGCGCATACGTATTTTACGCCGTACGTCTGTACGGGATTTGCAACTATTGCGCAACGCGTCTCCGCCGCCGTACACGTATTTAGTGGGTATATAATATTATATGCGTATAAAATGATTATTATTATTATTATGTGCACGGGAATACAATGGTCGCGTCGCGTACGTGACGTGATTCGTGAATTTCGAATTGGAATAAGGAAGGGAAAATAAAAAAAAAAAACCGAAACGGATTAGTTCGGCCGCGAGTGTGGGAAACGCGCCGTGTACCGTATACGCGCGTAATTGCGCGGTGCTAGACGTATTTTGAAACGGCGACGGCGACGACAACGACGTCCTCGGGGCACACTGCCACGTATATTATTGCGGTACGGCGGGCATCGTTCCGACGACGGCTTCTCGTTCGATAATGTCGCGAAAAAAGGGGGAAGAAAAGGGGGCCAATTCCGACGTTATTGCGTGTAACGCCCTCTCGGCGGGGTAATAACCGCGCCGTATAACATAATAACCGTGTATAGGCGTTTATATAAACGAGACTTTATTTTTCGAGTACATATAGACGTAAATAAATTGCCCGCCCCCGATCTGACGGTAAAAAAACCGTATTATCGGGGCGACATTATTAGTCATTTTAGATTCCGAGCGGAGCGAGGAATGTATTGGTTTCATAATGATATTATGTGTTCATTTTTTTTTTTTTTTTTTTTTCCTGTGGACAAATTTTCTAACGGCAATTTTGCTCCGGTTTTCAAGCGTAGCACTTTTTCCGAAAAGAAAACTGACCGGGGTGGTAATTTAAGGGGCTCGTTTTTTGATTCCAGCTGTTTTCACAGCAAATGGGAATATGCATAGGAAAAACGGGAAAATGTGCGAAATGTATTATTTTTAAATCATATAAATATTGTACGGATATTTTAATACTTGTATAACCAAACTCCGCTCAGAATCGTTTTTCTTTAGCAAAGATTAATCGTTGCGGTACAGATGTATACATTTTTAAATTATTCTCTATATTCTATTATACCTTACCAACTTCTCATCCGCAACAGTGGCCCGCCCATCGTGCGAAATATATGTCCGTATTTTTTTTTTTGTAACGGCCGCGTCTTAGGACTACCGTCGAATACTTACCGATATATACTTGCCCCGGGTGCGCGTGTATAGAAAGCGCGGCGTAATTTGTTTTTCAACCGATTCCATATAAGTACATATAGGTACCATTTATATGTATATACAATCTACAACGATTATGTATTATAGCCGCGGCGTGCGCACGTTCGGAGTGGTCGTCGCCGATAGATCGATATCGCGATCGTCGGTCATCACGACCGCGGAATTCTAAATATTATAGTGCGTATTACAACAATAATAATAATAATAATATATGTGTATACTACGCGACGTACAGGGTGACAGTGGCGACGTGTTTAGGATTTCGTCCGGGTGGGTGGTGTCGAATTTGAAAATTGTGTCTATACATCGTGTAACGCGCAGTGTAATTGGCACCCCGCGGGCCGAGAGAAAAACAAAACAATCAAAAAACGATCGATTTTTAATTTCTATATAATTTCACAATTTATATTTTTAAAACTGTCCTAAAATTATCACTAAAATCGAATTAGATTGACCCAGACGAGTATAACAGTAATATATAATTATCATTAGTATCTATATTTACTTTATTTTGGTAATTTAACCTCTTTCGCGTTCGAAGTGGTTTGGATTCGGTTTCGTTTTAAACGGACGTATTATAAAATGCTCGTACTGTAATTCGGAATCTAAAATGTATACTTGATGTACATATATAGTATATACCGTATTTGATTTTCCTGCAAAACTAAAAAGTAAAGAATTTAATAATGGGTAATCGTAAAAATTATAGACACTAAAAAAAGGTAAGGGTTGGAGATCTCCTTATAATCTCCTCCTCCCCCCCCAGTAAATACGCCACTGCAGGGTGATTTTAATTTATACAACGCAGAATTTACGTGCTGTTTGCGAGCTCGGACGAGCAATGCCAAGGGCTTTTTTATTTCCATTAGTATTCGCAATATCATCGCGAAATTGAGCATATTGAAAAATAATAAATATTAAAGTGTCTTGAAAAAATAAATACAATTTAATATAATTAGACCGTTTGAATGTATACCTCACATTCGTTAAAAGTAACCGATGACTATTTCCCCTCAAAAGTGAAATCTTTTACAAAGTGATAATATTCATTTGTTTGTTTCATCAGTCGTGTTGGTTACAAAGCGGTCACAAAATGTTGTAACCATCTCGGATAGATGTTGACGATCGGTGACTTTTCATCATCCCCTCCAGAATTATTATTTCTCCTATCGTTAAACCATTTTCGCGGTGTCTAAGGCGTATTATCATTATTGACGTAGCCGTTTAAGTTGTTGTTTCTGTCGTTTGTATATCGTTTTCTATCGTACAAAATGCGCCTCTTCTTATTTCTTAATACATTATTTTGCAACAGTATCTTCACCGTTGTCAACGCCTCACCGGTTACCATAAGTTGTAACCGTACCGAAATGGTCTACTATCAATTTGTGACCGGTGACTCTCAACGAATTTGTGGATATTCACTATAGTGTTACTGTATAATGTAGCTATGTATCATGTGCGTGCGGTCTTCGCCTGAAAATCGATCACCCTGTATAATATACGAGTCGTGATTCGGGCCACGGGGGCGTGGGCGCGTCGGCTATATAATAATATACTCGCTATTAATTTGCGACGGGAGATTATACACAGATTTATCAAATCGCTATAAACACACACGCACGTTCTAATAAACTGCGAGTAGAATAATATTACACGCTCGAGCACAGTGTATATACTGACAGATTATGCGCGCGCTTGTGCGTGTGTGTGTGTTTATTATTTTATGTGATAAAACCAATTATTATAATATTGTGTACTGTATACTATAATATTATATTATATATTATTCGCGTGTGAACCGTTTTATAATATTTAAGTACTTAATGAAAAGTCGACGGACTACGTGTAAAATAATCGTCGCGGAACGATTATTAATTTGCATATATACGCTCGTCGTCGTCGGTCAATTAAATCTCCGTATACGATAATAGGGTTTTCGACGGTTTCTCCGGGCCGTCGAATAAAACCGTACGCGTTATTTGCATAAGGTGAAAGCTTTCCGCGATTTAAACGGCCAAGTCTCGTAATAGACGACCGCGTTAATGTCGGTTTTTAAATTTGTCAGACGAAAAGTGCATACATCGACCAGAATTCGAGTGTCGCGAGTGCTCTGTACACAGACGTTCGAGTGGTTCGACAAATCCGTTTTCTACGTTATAATACACGCTGTGTCCGCCAATTCCGAATTTTGTCCGTCAATTTCGGATTTTATTACGGGGGGGGGGGTTATTTTTAAAAAAACGCGTCTTTTTAAAACTATTTAACGATAATGTATTACAGCTCCCTTGCGTCCCTCAGGAGCCCCCTTCCCTAAAAAAAAGACCGCTGTTGTTTTAACCGAACCGCAGTTTTCTACAGCGCTTGTATAAATCGATTAATATATTCGTATATTGATCGCTTTAATATTACATTAACGTCATTGTGAAAACCGATCAGCTACCTATGTTATATTGGTAGATATTATTCTATTATACCATATGAAATATATTATAAAAAGTAACGGATTATGTTGTCATAATTCAACGCATTCGTATATTATTATGTCCACAGTACATTAAATCGGACCGGTAATAAAAGCGACTCGAGTGTAACTCTCTCACAATTAAAGACTGGTATCTGGTATACCTATACCTACCTACCTACCGCGTTTATGGTTAAAAACCGTTTTAACCGGGGAGTTTGTTGAACAGGTACACTAATGTCTATAAAATAATAATATATAGTCGTGTTTTCGTGTCGTCGTCACTTTTAATTGTATAATAGGTATAGGTAGGTACTTGTATATATTATTGAAATAAACACGCACGCAATCAGCTATATAATATTATGGGCACAGATATTCGCAGACATTTTTTTTTTTCAAATACAATACACGTCGCACGGCCACGTGCATTATACAAGTAATGTAAAAAGACCGTAAATTTTAATTAATTTTTCGTGTTATTTTTTTTTATATATATAGATATATAGTATATACATTACTTACATAATGGTTGAGGTCGGAGAGCCATAACGCAAAAATAGTTTGTCACTGCATGCGTGCTATTAGGATTCGCGAGAAATATGCTAATTATAATATATATTAAACTTAATTTGCCGGTTTTAAAAAAAAAAAAAAACTCCGCTGCCTATCCATACGCATAATTTTGTATGATCCAAACACTTCGAAGAGTACACTTACATTTATATGTATTTTTTAAACGCAGATTGTCATATTTTTAAAAATAACTACCAATCTATCTACAGTATTAATATTTAGCGCGGTAAATTAAAATCGTATACCACAAGAATTATCAGCGGTCCGGTATATGACGATGAACCAGGAAACCGGCGTCGAATGAGGAAAACCAAGGAAATCCAAGAGATTACTGCCGGTGTATCAAAGATTACACATTTCACGAAGACGTGGTTAAGCAGAATTATTCAATGGTTTGAAAATGCGTGAAGAGACTCGAGTTAGCGTACCTATAAAAGCGGCAGTTGAGTGGAAACAAACCGGGAAGGGATCTGGAAGATGACTGAAGAATTTGTGGACGGGGTGAAACAAGACTGGCAGAAATTCGGTGAAGTGAATTGGCAAGAGAGAGTAAATAATCGCGGGGAGAAGGCGATGACATAAACTCTTGAAGATTCGGAATGCCAGGAAGAAGAAGAAGAAGAAGAAGAAAGAGATATTGTCGTCATAATAATAATATAATAATTATTCGAAAGTCGGAATGTAGGAGGAGACACGCACCGCCACGCCGTTAAAAAGCGACGGTAATCTCTTTAGTGTTAATATTGTCGGAATATTAAATTTAACAAGTGACGATGAAGAAATAAAGAAAAAAATACCTTATTTCATATTACTCGGATTTTAATGTATATGAAACTTTTCTATACTTATGAAAAACGCTATATTTCATCACTCGAATACACTTGTTTGTTATAATACAGCGTCACGTGCACTGCTGTATGTATATGTATATATATAGACACGTTTATATTATAAATGTAACTTCCTTTTTTACGCGTTCTTTGTAAAATTGTTCAGATGTCACTCCAAAAGTCTCGGGTAGGTATTATTATAAAGGGGTTGCTGTTTTTCACCGTGCAGTGTTTCCACGCATTGTTCAACAATACAGGATAAAATTGCTGAAACGGCCAACAGAAAACGAGTAGGTATGTATTATAATAATACTTTGAGAAGAGCTGTATTATAGTAAATAATATAGTTTCAAGTAGTTCGTATTATAGTACGTCATACTTGCGTGTATAAATCGCCATTTGCAAAATTTATAAAATTTTCGTTTTTCGTTGAAATTTTCTGATCGTCTGATTTGTTTACCTTACACACGTATTTTTTATAAGAATAGGGTTAGTGGGTCAAACCGTAACGGAAATCGCCTGCTAAAGTTGTAGAGTTTGGTGCAAAAAGGCGACAAACAATCGACACATGGACAAGTCCATGTGTTTGATAGAATTTGATTTTACGAACGTGTCCACGCTTTCTGCAATTGTAGTGATTAGTTGGTCAGGTGCTAAAATAATACTATTCTACGAAGGTTTATTGATTTTTTTTTTTTTTTATTAGATTCTGCGAGGAACCTATTACTACGATATGGAAATTTGTTTTGATTTTTCGTGCGCGCGAATAGGTTTTCGACCAAAAATCTGTTGTCCCTCGTATCTGATATGGTTTATCTCTTGTCCCTAGTATCAGATATGGTTTTTGGTAGTAGATTTTCTCGAATTGACGCATTAGGGCAGTAGTTATTTGATTTTCCTTAAACTTTCCTTAAATAACCCCGGAAAAACCCATTAGAGCGTAACGGGAATATTTTCTAGACGTATAGTACAATTTTCATAATATTCTGGCGTTTTATTTAATTATTTACAACTATTTGAAATTTTGGGATTTGATTTTGGTTGTGTGCAAATAACAATTTCGTAATTTATTTTCACCAGCATATTTCGAATTCGTAAACTCGTTAAAAACACGCGAACGGTTTATAATTTATTACTCTCAGTTACGAATTATTAACACGATTAATACAATTATTTTATAAAAAAAAAAAAGCGTTTCAACCGAACTTGGCTTTGTAATGATTTATCAACTTATCGACTGTTAAAAAGAAAAAATGTTTTTACTCGTTTTTGAGTCTTATGAAATAAATTCCGCGGAATTCGTCAGCTGCGACGCATAGGTAATATGCACACGCGTGAACGAATAAAAGAAAAGAAGAAAATTACACCTAAGTACGAATTATTAATTTCAGTTGTTGTTTTTGTTGTTGCGATAACGGTATACCAAGAAAAAAAGAAAAAAAGGTCGTTTATCTTAAATTTTTTTTTCACATTAAATATCATTGGCGGCGGCGCTTTTAAAAAAAATAAAATTATTAACACTAAAATAAACTAAATGATTTTTTTTTTCTTTTGGCTGCTCGCTCGTGCAGCGGAATAAAAAGACCATTAGTCACGTGAATAAAGTTTATTAATAAAATAATATTATTGTTGTGTGTTGTTTCGAAATAAGTCGCGGACCGCGAGCGCGTATAACTTTTTTATGGCTCGTAATTAAAGCGTTAAAACATTTTTACAGAGAGTATTTATCAAATCAAAACGTCCGTATAATAACGTGTCGGAATAATATTATTATATAGTTTGGATTTTAACCGGTGTGTGGTTTGTTTTTTTTTTTATACCTCGGATAATGTATACGATCGTGTTGTGCTGCAGGTTAATGGTAAATTGTAGTAAATTATAAGTAAAATATTGTCGTCGTTGTCGGTGAATTTTCGTTGAACGTCTTTATGTATTATATTATTATTATTATTATTAATATTATTTATTATTGTTATTAATTTTCTTTGTGTAACGGGACAAAAAAAAAAAAAAAAAAGAAAAAAAGATATCGAAGGAGAGAAAAGAGATTTTCGTATTAAAAAAAAAAAAAATTGTTACCTATAAATATATATAGTATAATAATATTACCTTTGTTGTGTTATAAAAATAATATTATTACGACGTGATTTTGTTTTCGGTCGAGTTTGAATAGGTATATCTGTATATTTTTATAAATCGTTGTTTTTTTTCTGCACGTAAAGGATAAAAATAAAAATAAAAAGTTAAACTAGATATTATATAAAACGGCTCTGTATATTAATTTTATTATAATAATCTTCCCATCGCTGGAAAACATCGGCTCGTTATCCATTTAATTAATAGGATTTTTTTTTTTTAACGGCGTGTTTATTGCGCTGCTGCTTTATACACTTAAAGAGCCTCGTCGACGTTTGTACCGTCCCGCCTTCTACTCTTTCTCGTCCAGAGACGGGGCAAAGCTGTGCGCGGGTAGAATACATAAAAAAAAATTTTAAAAAAATAAAATAAAAAACGGTCAATGCAATTCGCAGAACAGTGAACGTCTGTAATTCGACTCTGTGATACACACGCGTATCGCGCGTCGAATACTATTGCGCTAGTTTCTCGCTGTTAATTCGGAACACGAATAGGTACACAAATTCTCCGGCATTTAGTAATCGACTTATCGAGTTCATATTTTCTAATTTACTCATCACAGAATATTACAATGAAAAAATAATTATTAATGGCATTTAGAATTTTACTAGTTCACGGGAATGACACTTTTGGCCAGCCAAATATTCAGACTACTGTGCGGCGGGTTGCTGGCTGACGAGTTCGGAAACGAGCGCTCGAGTGTCCCTTAAAAACGGTTTTTTTTTCAAATCGACCGCATCCGTTTCCTAAACACAATCGTGTTAGGGGCTTAGAACAAACGGGGATAAAAATTTAGACTATAACGACGATAAATAATCGAAATTCATTTCGTCGTTATCGAGGCGTCTCCAGATGGGTGTTTTGACTCGTCGACGTTATTTAATCGCACGCTGCAGATATCGCAAGTTTTAACGAAAATATTTTCGTCGGATTAACGGGATCGTGGTCGCAGCTAGGACAGTGATATGCATAATTAATGCACATTTGCGTATTTTTGTCGATCAATCAAAAAACAAAGCAAAACTATTAGTTTTAATTTATACCGAAATGCGTTTCACGACCTAACGTTTCTATATAGACAACACATTTTACCTTGCGTATTTTCATTTTTTTTGTAGGGCATATTTAAGGATACTTTTTTTTACATTTTCAAAGTATTTTCATTATTGTCGAGAATGCCTTTAAACGAAAGTAGATAATCAGCAACTTTCTATCTAAATACATATAAATATTATAATTTCGTCCGTTACCTATCAGAAAATTGAAAATGCGCAAATTGCGTATAGTTATTTTATACCGGATATGACGGTGCGCATCTCAAAAAGGTCGTGCAATTTGCGCAGTAGCTTCATAATTAATTTACCAAACAATTAAACCGCCCTATTGTGATATTTCAATTAGTATTTTAATTGGCATATTATTTTCCGTGTTAAACGCAATGCATAAATTACGATTCAATACGATTTATTTATAGACGTGTTTCGATCGTTTGTCCCGGAATAAGAGGCGACGTATATTATCTCGTCGTTCATCCGTGTAGACGAAAACAAGAATATGTCTTTTTTTCCGGGTGAAACGCGCAACGGCGACCGTGTAATATTGTCGGACGGCGCGGCCGGAGTAAATTTCAATGTGCCACGCGGTCGTCGTTTGAAATCGCATTTGAAAATAATATCGCTTTTCGGCCGCGGTGCCCATGAAAAGCCAGTTGACATTTCGTATAAATATAACATGACGGCGTCAAAACCTGTAGAATGTTTTGAATTTTCATTAGGTGTGCCGTATAACGTTAATAATAATAATAACACACGCGTGCGAGAGCGCGTAATTTATTCGGCGCTAAAAAATTTAAATATCCCCGTGTTTTTAAATAAGGGGAATATCATTACCGGGTAATGGCTGGTATAAAATACCTGTAAACGCCACTGTTACACAAACGGGTCGCGTCACGCTCGCGTAGCCTGTTAATATTATATGATTTTCTGCCGCACGCGCGTCGACACGATTATTTTCCGATTGATTCGAATTGTTGTTTAAAACGCCTGTAGTGCAGCTTTTAAAACCGAGAAATCGAATCGTCGCCGTCAAAGTGCAAAGGAACGCAAAAACAATGAATTATTATTATTCGATTGATTTGTGGCGGAGGGTTTTTTTTTTCGTTCTCTTACGTTTCGGGCCAATTAGAAAGACGATATTTCGAAAGTCTGTAATGAAATTACCGCGCGCGCATAAATCCTGCACGCGTACATATTTACTCCAGCGCCTAATATTATATTATTTCGGGCGGGTCGGAATCGGAAATCGACCGTTTACAGGACGATTGAAGTACAATATCGACCGGAGGTGTAATAAATATCGTGTCTATTTTCGGATACTCTACATTTCATATCGCTCGGATCTACAGTCTCTTTTCGAATTTGGTTTGAAAGGGGCGGGGGAGATGGAAAAAAAAAACGCGTTAAAATCCAAAATCGATTGATTATCGTAGTATCGTGTGTGGATCGCGATGGAAAAAAAAAAAAAAAACAATTTTAGAAAATAGTCTCCGTATCGTCGACGAGATTTTATAAAACGACGAAAACCTTTACCGCTCGCCGTGCGCGCGGAAACTGCAGCGGCTCGTAAATGTGCGTACCAAACGTTTTTCGCGGTCCGTAAGTTTTATTGTTGTTGTTGTTGTTGTTGTTAATAATAAAACGGGAGGTGGCGGCGTGATGGTGTCGGTCGTATATACGCATATAATAATAAAAATCAATAGCTCATTGCGGACGGTGGCGCGCGTGTATAATAATAATAATAATAACATAACACTATACGCGTAATAATATACATTTTTTTATGCGCGCGTCACAAAAGAATCTTTTTTTTTTTTTTAGTCGATAAAACAACCTGGTTTTTTTTTTTTTGTTTTTTCGTTAAAGAGCGCGTGTATGTATCGGCGTCCGTCGAGTAGCTTTTTTTTATCGCGTTTATTTTTCGTTCTTTTTTTTCCCTTTCTGTTGTTATTGTGTCGCCGCCGCCGCCGACGACGTAAGCACCGCGTGTTTGTAGAGTATAATAATAATAATAATAATAATAATAATAATGATATAGTTTCTGGAAATAAGCGACCGACGACCGTTACCGAAGTCCGTCGACCGTTGGGCCCAGCGGCGGACGCGAGTGCCGCGGCGGTGCGGGGCGCCGCGACAGATACTCTTCGCCCGGCCCACCCTCTCGGCACCGCCGCCGCCAAAGTGTAGCGCGTGCGGCGCGGCGCAAAAGGTATATATATATTTGTATGTATATATATAATAGAGTTAAAACGAGCATTTTATTCGGTACAAACGGTTTTCTAACAAGAGCAGCGAGTAGTTGTTGTATAGTGATATTATATGCGCGCCGCCCGGCGGGGAGGGATAGCGACGACGGGACCGGCGGAGGGCGCCCGTCGGGGTTGATCGGGGGATGGGGAGGGGACGGAGGGACGGCGGCGGCGGTGCGCAGGGAGATCAATAAACGAACGGTTGGCCGCCGCGGCCGACAAGAGAGTATACGCGCGGTGGGAGGGCGGCGGACGGCGTTCGGAGGGGAGGGTCGGCGGCGGTGACGACTATTATAACTACATAAAACACGCTAATGGCTCAATACGCGCGCCGCGCCACGCTTACGTTCACGCACACACACGATCGCGGCGCGTGTTCCCGCTCGCACACACACAGACGCTTTTCGGCGTGCGTGTATATACGAATTAACGACCACCCTTACCCGCCGCGTCCGTCACCCCCCGCCCGGCGTTTTTCTTTTCCGTTTCCCGTTGTGTACGCTCGCCGCGAGGAATCTACCCGAAAATAATATAACACCGCGCAAACGGGCCGGGGGTAGAGCGGGTCGGCTCGCGAGCAATCGGGTAGCGACTTTCCTGGGCGCGAGGTCATTAATTCGACGACGACGACGACGACGTCCGGGAGGGGGGTTGACGATTCACCTACCCTCTGATCCTACTACCCCCGCGCCAACGATCATATAAATATATATAGGCGTAGTAATATAATATCTCGGATTGCCATTATGGTAATTGGATTTCGTTTCGTTTTTTTTTTTTCTATCTCCGGCCCACGAAATCGTGTTTTACCCCCTCCCCCCCTCCCCCCCCTCCCTTTTTTTTCACGAAATAACAATACACAAATACAATATAATGATAATATATAAACCGTAATAGAAAATAAACGAACGGTAAATCGGGTGCGGTTCACGTGTGCGTGCGTGTGTGTGTGTGTGTGTGTGTGTGTGTGTGTGTGCGTGTGCGCGCGCGCGCGAATCTATGCGCCGACCGTCCTCGCGAACTTCTATGTTATTGTGATGTTTACACGCGACTATAAAACGTTTAATGATTGCGAGTTTTCCCCCGCTATAACGGACCGTATAAAATATAATACAATCTGTAAACAATCGAACGTTACCATTTTCGAGCCGGAGTGGGGAGAGGGGAATATGTTTGCGTCGGGCATATTTCGTTTTCTTTCTGCGCGGACTATTACGAAAGTCTTCGTATGCAAAATGCGGTGTAGCCACGTTATTCACTACGATCTCCGGAGATCGTCAGTCCTCGGCGTATTTCCGGCGAAACCCAATGACTTGTCATCCCCGCGCGCGCGTCCTCGATTATATCTGTTACGATTTGTTTGAGTTCTCTGGTTTTTTTTTATCGAGTTCCTCGTATAAAACGTCCACGTATTTATCTTATTATAACCTTTCACGGCGCGGGTGTAACGGACGGCGCGTTCCAAACGCTTCAACAGAGCTTCCCGTGCGCGATATCGCGTTCACCGTTTCCTACCCGTTCTTCAAAAAGGTTTTGTTAAAGTTTTGTTAAAGGTCCGTGGTTTGATTAAAGGCGAGAGGCGTGCGCCAGCGATACGATGATTCGGTTGCGCCGCACGTTCGTGCAAAAGACGATGCGCGTATTTTAACGGCGGCTTTCGAACGCGTGCAGTTACAGGCCGGATGCATTGTTGTCACAGTTATTCTAATCGCATTAGTCGATGTTTCCGACTGTTTAATAATATCGCGATCGGGCATCCGCCATTCGGAGCCGGAAACAACGTTTTTCGAGCGTTTCGTTGTCCATTTCGCGCAGGGCTCTAATACGCGATTGCGTACGGGAAATTGTCAAATCCCCGCCGATACACTCTGTACAATATTGTTTTCTTTCGATATTACGCTATACTATTTGACTCGGGTGTCTCGCAAATATTCTTTGCCCCCCCCCCCCTTCCTTTATACAATAGTACATATATACACTCGGGTTTTTATTTCGAGAGTATCGATTACGTATAGGTACGGTACCTAAATATTTCCGAAAACGATCAATATTATATTATAGCTTTTCGCCAAGTTTTTAGCGTCGTAAATACTGCAACTGTTACGGCGCCGCCGTTGTCGTTTTCCGTACACGGTGAAATAATATTTCTTGACAGTTATTCCATTCGCTCGTCGTATCATACAATATGCTTTATTGCGTGGCGGTTTCACGTTGTTTTTTTTTTTTTTTGAAAATACCCAAAACAACAGCAACGTTGTTTTGTTATTGCAGTGTCGCGTAAATTCCATACAATTAACGTGCATATTTCAATGTACATCGAAGTCTTTTCGCGAAATAGTCAGCGTTCGAACGAATAATTATAATTTTCATAATTATACGGAGGTGGTCGATTTTCTTCTTTTTTTCCTTTTTTTTTTTTTTTTCATCTCCAAATATCGTTATAATTTTACCGCCCTAATTGATTTGCTGGCGACCGCGCGGACGGCTCTCTGTATAAAACCGCTGGCTACGCACCAAGTCTTCATTATAATTACTTATTCTTAATTATTTAATGCTGTTTCCCACCCTCTCTCCCCCCTCCCTCCTATTTATAACGCCTTTTTAACCGCGCTCGCCGCATACGTATAATAATATACTTATAACGATCCGTTATTTTAAATCGATTGTTTTTCCTAAAAGTTTAATTTGTTTTCGTTTGATTATAATTAATTGTATCGCTCTTAAGTTTTATCGCGTACTCCTATTCGGGTGTTATTGTACACTGCAGCCGTCGCCGTCACGCAAATAGTGACCGAGTGTCAAGAATGCGGAATTATATGGCCTGCAAATAATCTCTAGATAATCTCTCCGCAGAATCCTCGGTAGAAAAACGACCGAAAATTCAAAACCATATTTACCGATAGTGTTGTATTTTCACTAAGTTTATGTCCTCAAATTTTCTTTTTATAAACATTCCTTAAGTTATTTATCGATCATCAAATGTATAGAAAATCGTACACGTTTGTGATTTTCTTGGACCGCCGCCGTGCGTCGTCGTAAATATATTATTATAGTTTACCGACAAAGTTAATTAAAATGTTACCGGGTCATTTTACCAGGCAACAAAGAATTATCCGTATAATTCGTTAATATATAATGTATACGAATATAATAATACACGTATATTCTCACTTTTTTTCCCCTACGTAGCAGAGGCGTGTTTAATTGAATTTTTTTAGAGGGCTCTAGTAAATTAATTTTCGAATTATATCGCCGTATGATTATCGAATTTCCGATTCGTTTTATCAGTATTACTCATCAACGAAACAAATGAATAATATTGATGTATATTATTATTGCGGAACAGTACCTATATAATTGTCTACTATATTTAATACTTACGGTAATTAAATTTAAAAAGTAAAAAAAGACCAAGCAGGGGATCTTTTGCGTTTTTATTATTTTTCTCAGGTTTCTGGAGCCTTTAAGACCATACCGTCTCGCAAACAAGCTTCCATGCTTCTCTGTCCAACGCGCTAGATCTCTCCGATCGGAGACACCTTTCGTCTGTTTATTCACATCCTTTTTAACGACAAAATCCCAACTCATTCTTGATCCTCCCAAAGGTCGTTCGCACTCTCCCCTCCCCTACCCCTCCCCGGTAAATACGCTATATAATAACGTATCGAACATATGCGATCGCGGGAAGAATTATTGTGCAATATCGTTTGCGGACGATTCGAAAAAGAAATGAAAATCGGAACATCGCGCCGCGGCCTCATGCAGCGGACGGAAAATTGCGTAATTTATGAACGGCAACGTGCGTTTATTTTCTAGAAACCACAATAATATTATTATATATACAGGTGCCCGACCACCTATATAATGTACAAAACAAACAACCTAACCTATAAGTGTTGCGTGCGCTATATTTTTTTCGCTCGTGTGCGGTTCATTACGCTAATGGTTGAAATGGTATCGTGCGCGCGTTTATATATTGGTCACGTGACGATCGTGTCCGGATTTCCTTTTGTCGTTCGTTTAAGGTCTCCGGTGTATCTATCTATCTCTGTCTCTCTCTCTCCGGTTTCGGTCGTAGGTTAGAAAGTCGAAAACCGTTACGAATAATAAACGTTTTATACAAAGAAAATAAAAAATTAACAACAGGTACCTCCTATACCTAAATGTATTATTATTATATGATGGAAAGCGTCCGGCTTTTTATGGGTCGCGTATAGGCATTAAAAACATTTTCCGCGAAAAAACCGAGAGTTTATTTCGATTATAAACGATTCTAAGTAGCGGAGAATGTATATTATGACGGTTTTTTTTTTATTTTCCATGTACATTTTTTAAATTATTGGGAAAAACGAGGGAAATCAAAAGGCAATAAGGGTTACTACGAATATTATTTTCGATTTAATTGGTTTTTTATTATTCCAATTCGGTTAGAAATAATCGTACATACCTACGATATCGTTTTACTGATTACTCATATTAGCCTTTTATTGATGTGGTGCAGTTTTTTTACAAATGTTGATCATTTTTGAACTAATTATATTCATCTAGAATTGTCAATGTTTTTAAATAGTCATTATAGTCCAATTATTATTAAATTATAATATTACAGTCTAATGTCCTATTCATTTTTTTTTGTCTCCATTAAAACGTTCAACAATTTTAATTTACTACGCTGTTTTAGATTCCGAGCATATTTTATTATTAAACGTGGTATTGATGTTTTGTTGTTGAATTTAAAGTCGTACATGCAGAGATATTATATTATTATGCATTTTTTTATGCTTCAGTTAATGCCATTGTGGACAACTTTTGTCGGTAAATGTTTCCAACAAAGTTAGTGTCGATAATGCGGATAACCTTGTACGTACTTCCATAACGAAGAAACGTTATGGGTCACGTTTTATTGTGCGTATAGTTTGGCAAGATTTTTAACGATTTCATATTTTAAGTTGTCAATAAATTCGTATGGGGGGGGGGGGGAAATTAAAACCGTTTTCCGACGCGCAAACGACATTTTGTTTAAAATACAAAAACCGTCAATTATTGTTGAAAACTCGCTTAAAATGTATCGCCATCAAATCGCACGTAGCTCTACGACCGTATAACGATTATATCTATAACGGACGCGACCACGGAATACGCTCGGCAGCGTAATTTACAGATTTGACGATTACCTACGCGCACAACGTACTAACAGTCGAGTGCAACTATACGATGTTATTATTTATCGTCCGTGAGCTAACAACACTCGGGTAGGAGTCCCGTGCAACCCAAACACGACCGCGTTTCCAAAACCGCCGTCGCCTTTGCAGAACGCGTGGGACTTTTAATCGTTTTGAATCTGTACGGTCTAAACGACCGCGACCGGATTTATATATTATGTATAGCGGATGTATTGCTTATACATTTGGGAGGGTTCCATCGAGTACTGGTCGTAGGCAGCCTATATAAATATATAATATGAATTCCGTGTTACGTACAATATCGTCCCGCAAATCTGCTGTAGAACAGCCGCCGATACGAGAACCTATATCAAAATAAAATTAAAAACCCGAAAACTTTTTAAACCGACATTATATAACGTTTCGTCGTCGGACAGAGCGGCAAAAGATGCCAACAAATATTCCATTCTCCTGGTTCGACGACAAAGACCAGAGACAAGTATATAACAACGTATAATATTATAAGACGCATTGTATAGTAATACGATTTGGGGTTTCGATGTTTGTCGAAAATCGAGGGGCGTTCCCCGCAAGCGCTCCCTGCGAACCCGACCGAAATTCCAGGAAACTTATAGAGGAGCCGAGACTTTGAGAAATTTGTTTTCTCGCGCACGCGTATTATATTTTGTTCGTAAAAAGTTTATAGGATTTAAAAAATAACCCGAACAATTATTATCCCACTCATTTGCCTGCTCAGTGAAATCAAAGTATTAAAACGGTCCGATTATATTGTATTATTATTATTATTATTATGCATAAGCCAATACGGCAATACGTATATTAAAAATTATATTTTTAATACGACCGGTTTCAGTGTTTAATATTTCATTAGTTAACTATGTATATAGATATATAATGTTGTATACAAAACGATCCGTTTAAATTTTTATTTTATTATAGAAATTATTTTTTTATTTTTTTTTTTTACGAATGCCGTACACACTGCTGCACATACCTACTACTTATATTAATAATTATTATCAATGAATGTCTACTGTCTAGTATGCTATCATAAACTCTATATCATTCCCATATTCTTTTCTTTTCAACGATATTTTTCAAAAATTTTCGACATCTTGTTAACTCAATGGTATTTTAAATGATATGTAGGTACAATAATTATATTATACCTATTAAATTGTGCAGATGTATAATCATATGTTTATATACGATCGTATAATATTATCACTTTAGTAATAATAACTAATGCGTCTGCTCGGACTTAAATAAGGGAACTGATAACTATATTGTACCTTAATTAAAAGGAAATTATCTCTCCCTCCTCCCCCCCGATTTCACAACTGATAATAATATAATGTTTATGTTTCTTTGCGGTAGTTTTTTTTTTTTTTTTTTTTTTTTTAAATATAATATACATTTCTACCGTCTTCGACGATGGTAGCTAGTGCGCAATAAAACGTCAATAAAAATGTTGTTTTTTTTTTTTTTTTTTTTTTTTTTTTTTGTTCAATTCGATATTATCATTCGTTTATTGCATCAGGCGTACGGTTCGTCTCGTAATTTGGCAGCAAAAACACGTCGCGATACGATCTGAACAGTATTTTTTATGGTAGGATATTACCAAATTTGTACAACGCGCGTCTCATAATAAAATAAGAGAATTTTATCTGTGGTTTTTTCTTTCTTTTTTTTATAACCTTACAATTATTTTAATAATTTTTGAATATTGTATGTTTTTTTTTTTTTTCATTTACTCGTTTTAAAAATGCAGAAGTAATAAAAACCGTTAGCGATAAAATGCCGCTTCTAGTTTCCACCATAACGTGCCGTAGGTAGGTGGACTTACTGTCTTAATATGAAATCGGTTTTTTCGCAAACAATGTTTATGGAACTACCTACGCGATATAAAACGCTATATACTTTACAAGTTTTTATATAGATTTTTAAATATTATCAAATTATAAACAACAACATTTTGAAGACTACCTGTCGCGGGCGTTTTACAATGTAATTCTCCGCTGCGTGTTTAATTCGTCGTTATAAAAAAAAAAATCGTATTTTACTTTTTTAAAACAACCGTAACTTTAAAATGATTAAGAAAATGAATTCGCGGTCTTCGAAATGTCGCGTTCGCCTACGATTATAACCGTGTGTTATGAGAGTTTTTTCTGCGAATCGTTTTAAAAGTCTTCTCACCGTTGGTTGTCCGGCGAAAGTCGCGAACGCGTCGTTTTAGCTCGTATGTTATAGACTACGCGGCAAATTTGACTGTGTGTCCGATTGGAGACCAATGAGAAAACGAAACGTATTTTTTCAGAATAACGATTATGTGACGATGACGAATTAAGACGTAGGTATTTATCGTAAGATTCCGACTACCACGGTCGCGATAATACAAACGGATAATGGGTATATTATTTAACATTTTTCATTGTCGTGAGTGAGTGTGCGCGCGCGCGTCGCTCACGAACAGGAGCAGCTCTATTCAGCAATATGATTTGCATAGCGCTTTTAAAAAATAATATTCTATTTGATTAACGAAACCCCTATTAAACACTCGCCGTTCGTATATGTACGTACCTAACCAACCTATATATGTATAAAACATCACAACGCATTCAAGACGTTTTTTTTTTTTTTTTTTTGTTATTGTTATTAATATACTGTGTTTTTCGTTAGCGCGTGTCGTGTCGTGAATAAAAAAGGGACACAATACGCATATTATAATGCGTATAGGTACCTGTTTAATTATTATCGCTGCAATGCCACCCTACCCCCCCCCCCCCCCTCCTCCCCCGGACGCGTATTAACGTTCCCTACTCGAAACGAGCCGCCGACGCGAATAGCGATCCTCGAAACGGCTATTTGATTCCTCATCGGTCATCACAAACGTATCGCAGGCAGGTATCGATAACACGGCTCAACGGTATTCGCATAAAAAAAAAAAAAATAATAAACACGCTATATTCATTATTTGTTAAGTGTTTTTTAATATTGATTCAAACCGAATTGATCCGAAGTGTCCTGAGTGTTCTACGTGTAGAACTGATTAAAGAAAAAATCACGACAGGATTAGATAAAACGTAGAAAGAAGAAAAACAAAACCGTCAGATAATGTTGGATTATGACCGTAGGATTCGAACCGGACAACATTGATAAATATTATATTAATATCGATACCGCTTTGTTCCTCCATTGTATCGGTCATCGTCAGGACGTTTAATGTTCAGTTAATTGTCTGGCAACAATTTATCTACCTATTTACGACGAATAATATTTGGCCAATCGGAGGATTCCGTTTGTCCCTGCGGCTCGTTGCAAGTGTATAGGGAACGTTAATACGCGGCCCGGGCGAAGGAATAAGTCGGGCAAGCTTCAGCTATATAATAGCATTATGAGTACAACGAAACGTTTTTTTTTTTCATCCTTTCTTTTTCAAATCGCACTACCTACAAAGAATAATAAAAATACTAAAAAAAAAAAAAAAGTCTTATAATAATTAAAACTTAAAAAGAAATGCGCGTTCGCCTGTGCACAACAATAATTAAATTATTCCGACGACGATAACGTGATATAATTACAATTATTGTATTATATAATTATATTTACTTATAATATCATTATTATTATGCGATGTGCGTTACGACGTCAAAATATCGAATAACGATTTGCTATAATAATTGTTATTTACATTATTCGATGTCTTATCGGAATGTAACGTAATAATAATTATAGGTATGCTTTGAAATACGCGCACCTGTATAATGTTAATCGACACATTTTTAACACTGCAACATTATAAAATCGTTAGGATTAACCCATTTGAATAACATAATATTATCCTATGATAATTTTGTCTCGCCACCTATACCCATTATCCACCTAATCGATGTACAAATTAAATCATCAATTTGTATACCTAAGTAGATTTACCTACAATAGTAATATATTACTTATTTAATGAAATTCATTAAATGAATTACCGTGTACAGGGTGTCTCACGGATATTTGACAAACGCGATGACTTTCGCTGCGTTCAGTATATTTGAGTTTTTCTTTTTCGTAATACTATTTATACTATATAGAACCTTGCGCAACGGTTCTTAAATTTTTACATATTTTGATTTTTTATATAAAATCCATCATAGCTGTTTTACACGATAATTTTTTACAATTTTTAAAGTTTACGATATACCTAATATAAATTGTTTTCTTTACTATGAACAATTTTGTAAATGATAATATTTATATCTCTCGCCGTTATAGTCCTAAACATTTGCAACGCTAACATTGTGTTTCAAAATACATTTTATAAAACGGCTACCTATATTGGATGTAGTCGATTTTATTTTCATTTTTAGTTTTAAAACAAATATAAAGTAGAAAAATCGTAGTGTAAGGGTCTAGCAATTGTTACAAAACAAAACGTCAACATATTGAACAGAACAAAAGTCATTGCATTTGTCAGATCGCCGTGGGATACCCTGCATAGTGTGAAAAGTGCACACAGACGGAATGCAATTGATGAAGTAATTTATTAATGGCATAGTACTATATTATAGTGTCGGCTAAAAAAAAAAGAAATCTTATTTTTATGTTCCGAGTGTATAGCGTAGATAACCATTAATAGTTTTACTAAGATGTTATTGTTATTATTATTTTTATTGTTTTGTCAAAATACTTTCTATGAGATAAACACGTTGTTTAAAGCGTATTATTCCTATTCGAGGATGCGGATTTTTCTTGGTGTATATTATTTTACTTGAAAAATGAATCTCAGAACGGATGAGACTCATGAACGAGAGACTTCTATGAACGATTTAAAAACAAAAAAAAACAGTTAAATAAATTGGTTTTATTTTTGTCAACCTACGCAACGGGGGGTAATACTCCCCCCCCCCCTCTATAACTGAGTTACCGGTTTACCGAACTCGGTTCAGAATCGTTTTTTGATTGCTGCAATCGTTGATATCAGTACAACAAACGTATAGAAATAAAATATTTGTCTCGCCTTCAATATTTACAATTGCCTGTGCCCACGGTTCGGAGTGTTTTATTATTATTTATTATTGTTTACTTGTTTTTTTGTGAAATCAACGGTTGTTTGACTATTGGCAGAACGACGTAATTTAATACAATAATATATGTCACTAATCTTAGCTCTATACTCACGTATAAATTTATATGGATTACAGGACAGGGTGGAGTTTCTTTTCGTAACGCGGTAGCTGATCGGTTTTTTTCCTACGAATTTCACACAGTAAACATTTTTTTTTTTTTCATTTGAAACGATAATTAATACAAAATAAAAAACCTTCGAAAATCGTCCCGCAAAAAAAATTATACGGGTGTCATGTGTCCGGTTTTAATGTACTCGATTTTTAATTATTAATGACTATAGTCGCATAATAGGACTTTATATTGTTAAATTAAATTTTCGTCATAAACATTTGTAATTTATGCGTTTTTAATTTCGTATAATATAACTTACGTCGCAGTATATGTGTTATACGTTTAAAATTATGTATACCTACGCGTTTTTTAATTCGTATATACAGCTAATATACATAGGTAACTGACGATTTTTAATTTTTTTTTTTTGATAAATATTTAATAACGTGCAATTTATTATTATTTGTACGTATGTCGAAAGTCATATTAAAAATACCGAAATATAACAATGATGCGGATGCGTTTTACCGCGTAAAATACTATTACGTATAATTGTACTGTGCGTATAGTAGTAGTAAAACAGTTAATATTTTACTCGAGGGAAAAAAAACCCCCGTATAAATAAATGAAAATAATCGTCTCCGAAAAATTAGTTCGGTATAATTTTATACCGCGCGCGCGTGCGCTCACTCGTTCGCGTAGAGGATGTTTTTGAATCGCAAACAACACTTGTGGACGTCTTTTGTGAATTATGCGGTCTGTGGCATAATAAGTATACTATATGTTCTATTGTATAATGTATGTATACAAAAAAAAAAAAAAGTCCAGCGTTAAAAGTTGGTAGTAGCAGGTATATAATAGTATTTTTTTTTTTTTTACGAACCCATAACGGTCCAGTTGTTCTAAGGGCGCGATTACAATGGGGTGTACGGAGTTATACAGAAACGGAAAGAGAAAGCTTCGCAAAAAACGAAAAAGGAATTCGATCACAAAGTCTGAAAAAAAAAAAAAAGAATAGGTAGCGGCTACCATTTGTCGGAGAGAATTAATTTTTTTTTTCCTGTTTAGATTCGCCGTTGTAGATTAAAGTGTATTGATTTTGTGTCGAATATTTGCGCGTGTCTCTGCACAGATGACAATATAAAATAAAAGGTATACACATAATACGATATCGATTTATAATAACCGCATTTCGTATTACACTTTTTACGACGAGTAAAAATACAAATATGTCCGATGATATTCTTATTGTTTTATAATTTTAATGAGTATAGACCGGTGTTTGCCGAACGTAAAAGGTAAGCTCGGTTTTTTAGAGGAAGGGGGGCGTGCGATTTAAAAAAAATACATTATAACATATCCGATAAAAACTCATTCATTTCAATCCATAACCACAGTGTACTGCGGACTGCAGTTGTAGTGATCATGCAAGTTTATTATTGTTCTATTATATTATTGTTTCATTTTTTTCCTCTGGCGTAAAAAGGGGCTTGAGATTTTAGAAAATCTCCAATGGTTCGTAGAATTTAAAAAAAAAAACGGTTTAGGAAACACTGAAATAGATTAATTTGATTACGTTCCATCATTTCCATAATACCGTAATAAGCGAGTAGCGTAATATTATAGTAATTTTTTTTTTTTTTTTTAACGCTTGTTTACGTTATACATTTATTGCGCTCAATTATATATTTTTCATTTTTCATTTTTTTTTTTTTTTATTGTGGAACATTTAATTATGTGCACAGACTGCATAGCGCATACTACACAGTCGTAAAATGTATTTATTCGCTATTGACACGATAATAACTGCGACAGTAAAACCAATTTATTATACGCGCTGCTTATTCGTTTGATGTATTATTATACTTAAAGAATCGAACGATGTCGGCTCAAAACGCCCTTCGAGTTTTGATCAAAATTTATGAAGGTTTTGCATTCTGAAAAAAATAAATATATTTTGGTTTTCACAAAAATATCAATAGATTTATTAGATTTGTTCCGCGCGGATCGAATAAAAAACCAGTGGGTGTGGGAAAAAAATGTTTTAACTTTATACGAATACATGACGTTGTGATTGTAATGTTGAAACCGAAAGCAAGAAAATATAGATTTTTCGAAAAGTGTAAAAAGTGATCCGTATACAATTCTTTATACAATAATAAACGGATTACTGTATTACCACCGCGATGTGTATACTTTTTAATTCCGTCAACATTTTCGATTTATTAACGTATAGATAGACGTCGTAATATTTTATCGTTAAAGATTATATCTATAGTATTTATCTTCTCCCTCCCCTCGAGGGGGTATTATAAAGGCGCCTTGACAAACTGTCCATTTTACCGGAACATATAGTATAAAGCACTGGTCTTAGACCAACTAAGTCCGCGGGCCAAGTCTGACCTGCGATCATTTATTAATCGGCCCATAAAAGTGTTAAATCAAAAACCTACACTCGTAACAAAAAAAAAAAAGATATTATTATTATTTTTATCGCCCTCTGTGAAAAAAAAAGGTTGATCACCACTGGTATAAGTGTAAAGGATACGGAAAAAAAAAAAACAAAAAGGAATACCGAAAACCGACGACAACTCCTTCGATTGCCGTTTAAAAACGCTTTCGCGTCGCGAAATCGATGTGACAAAATACGTGCACGTCGGTATTGCGTATGTACCTGCGTAATACGTGTAGGGGGTAGGTAGAACGACAAAAACAGTAAAACGTTTGTTTTTGACGGAAAACTGTAATTTCGTAGATTCGTCGAAGAGATCGCCAGTTTGTTGCGCTTTGTTGTGTAACGGTATAATGTCGTCGAACCGAAATGATAATCGCGGGTTGGGGGTTGTGTTAGAATGTTATTTCGTAAAAACCTCTCTTTCGGCCGGCACACTCGCGGACGCCCGTGCGCTTCGATACTCAATAGGACTACGGGTCATACCCGTAGTTATTATATAGGTTTTATCGCGAATAATCATAAAAATATCGCGATTTTGACTGGTCCGGGGGAAACTTCGATAACGCGAAAATCGCGCGCTGTGGTAAACAATACACTCGAACTGTTCGATTTGTTTTCGATTGAATTCGAGTATTTATACGCGCGGCGATATTTTCTAACGCAAGGAAAACTAATTTATGTCTAGGCACATTCGATTTGATATTATATACGTGACTTTTAACGCGATATTATTACAACCCACGAACAAACATACGCGTGGAGGTAAAAATTTTATAAAATAAAAACGAAAACGGAAATATCGAGTGTATGCCCAATAAACTGCGATATTATATTTTAATAAGTAGAACGCGAATGGTCGATTATTATTATTATTTAGTAAGTATACGTAAACATAATTCGGAACAAAACACAGAGGTTTTGTACGTTTTGACCGTGCAATATTATCGTTTTACCCCTGAATAATCTCTCCGGCCTTCGTACCCTTGTATTGTTTCTCAACTGTTTATATATATATATATATATTAAACGCCAGTGTACACGACGTATTATTTGTTTTTTACGCGAAAATACGAGTTTCGAACTAGCGCGAGTTTCGGTATACTGTATTTCATATAATACTGTTACGTTCCGAGATTATCATAATATATTTATAGCGATGCACAGCTGAGAGGCGTGTGTCCAGATTTATGACGTAGTCGGGAAAAAGGTTCGATTTTCAATATTCACCCCCATGACGACGATGATGACGATTGTTATTAATATTACACGTACAGCATTGTACACAGGGTGATTGTTTTATCGCGGACAAAGAAGCGGCGATTTATTATCCTTTTCTACTCCTTCGGTGCGTAAACCTTGAACGCTAAACGTGCTATTAGCGTTATAAAATATCTGGACGAATATTCTCTTTTTGAACGTGTGATTCAAAGGGGAGGGAGGTTGCCGTTCGAAAATCCAATATGGATACTCATGTCGGGTATAAAGAGTAGGGATGAAAAATTGAATCGAAGCTCAAACGGTTCCTAAAAAAAAAACAACGGAAATCAAATCGACTTAGAAAATTGACGGTTCACGATAAAAGAATCGCCCTGTATATAAAAGTAATGTATTTGTCGGGGATAACATATTGATGACGACGACGTACGTATAATACGCGTCAACCGAAAAATATTATTTTGTTAGGACCGAGAATATTATCAGCGTGCGTTCGTCCGGCGCATGCTGTCGGTCGGCCATACGGGTTGTACGTGTATTATTGTATACACAACAGAGTTAAAAGGGTTTGCGGTTACAATAACAATGTACAAGATATGCCCTATCGCCGCGGGTACATCGCTTATTGGGTATTTAAAAAGTAGAGAAAAAAAAACCGTCTGGTCGTGACGGGTCGGGCCGATTCTTCGTCGGCGTGTCTGCGCAGTGTATTTCACTCCACTGTATTTTACCGCTCTCCGCCACGTGCGTTTGACCGGCCACGCGAATTATCTCGGATTCTTCCCTCCTCCTCCTCCTCCTCCCTCCGTCCCTATTAGCTTCGCGCCGAATATTTACCCGGACATATTAATAATAATGCGCTCGCCGATATTATATAATCGAAACCGGGGAACGCGTCCAAAACGGTTCGGCCGTTTTTTCATTTTAATCAATTTTCACGTTTCGATAATATTCTGATCGGAATTGAATTGCTGCGCAGATTATTCGATACCACACTTTTGATCGAAATATTTAAATTCCCTCTGGAATTAATCTTTGAAATTTGTCAAATGTCCCGCGTTGGACAAATTACTAAAATGGCTCTACTATGAAATGTGTTGTGTGTCGTCGCCTATAGCCGGCCTAACCCTAACCAATACGAAAATCACGCATTTTAACGGCGCGATCCCAGTATAGTATGATGATTAATAATAACGTTTTCCGTTTCGTGTCAACAGGTCAAGATATGGTTCCAGAACCGGCGGACAAAGTGGAAAAAACACGACACCGTGACGACAACGGACCCCGCGGACCCGGTGACGGTGGCCGCGGCCGCTGCGGCCGCCGCCGCGTCCGGCGGTGGTTCCAAGTGTTCGCCGAAAGCGGCGCCCGGGGCCAAGTTTCTCAGCGAGGGCGACGACCAATCGTCGCTGGAGGACTCGGAGAGCTGTTACAGCAGCGTGGACGCGGCCGAGTCGAAGGTGGTCACGGCCCGGACGCCGGAATCGTTGCCGCCCACATCGCCGCCGACGGACACCGACACCGCGGCGACGGCCGCCGCAGTCGCAGCCGCAGCCGCCGCCGCCGCTGCCGCAGCCGCCGCGACCACGACCACGACGGCCACGATGGCCACGATGGCCAGAGCGCCCAGTTAAAGAAGACGGCGACCGACGCAGATGAACGACAAATAAAACTGTCGCTGTTTTTTTTTTTTTCCCCCGGTTTTGTTAATTTACATGTATTTTTGTCCCATAGAAACGCGTGTAATTATTTTATTATTTATGTGTATAAGAAAAAAATGACAAAAAAAAAAAAAAATAACATTATTATTCTTTGTATTGTACCTAATTGTTTTTTTTTTTTTTTTTTCATTAGTCGTTACGTTTAGTCTTAACATATCTTAATCCTAATATAATATCTGTATGCACGTACATTAATGTAGTTAGGGAGTTAGTGTATTCGTGTATATTTGTGTGTATGTGTGTGTGTGTGTATGTGTGTAAACGAGTTACAGGGCCGTATGGATTTGCATTGTTTTACATACGTACCTTTTAAATATTTTTAAATTTTCGAAATTCTAACGCGCTCCGCACGCTGCACGCACCCGGTACAGTCTATACCGGGCAGACTGCTGTTTTGTCACTGCGTACGTGTAAAACGATTAGAAGGAAAAAAAGGTTTTTTACAACTATTATATTATAGACTGGTTTATAACCCGTAACGATATTAATATACAATTACGTTTATAGACGTTTGTCTTTATTGATATGTTTTTTTTTTCTTCCCGTTCTTTGTGTACATATCATTTTTCGATGTCGGGCGCGCGAGAGGCGATCTGATTTTTACTTGTGTCGCCCCCCCCCCCCCCCCNCCCCCCCCCGGTCTCATCGTATTATTAATTTTCCCCCGGTTCGAAACGCGCCGTTGTTTCTTTTCGTTATTTCTTTTCCCGGAAGGGGGGGGGGGTAGAGAGTATAGTTTTTTTTCTTGTTCGTTTCATTCCACGGCGAGGTGGGAAACGTTTCCGCCCTCGTCAGAACAGAACGCCTGACGCGAAACCGATAATAATATCCCCGTTTCTTCCCGGTCCGAGTGCATAATTTAATAAATATAAAACAGCCCCGTGCTTCTCAACTGTGTAATAATAAACACGCTCTCTAAAATATGATTATTATTATTATTATTATTATATTGACTTCGTATTGTATCTCTTTCGATGCGGATTGTTTGTTTTCGATTAATATATTTTATAATATTGTACCTACATTATATTATTATAATTATTATAAACACGTCTTACATTATAAAAATATAAAGCTATTTGTACGTATTTGGTTTGTTTTTTTTTTTTTTTTAACGTCCTTATGAACGGGCGCGAACTGTACTGAATAGAAAAAAAAAACGTATACGGTCTTTAGGACCCGCACAAAATGTTATTGACTAAAATTTGTATACTTTTTAATGTTTTTTTTTTTTTTTTCTTTGAATATTGTATTATAATATTTACTTAGGTGTATACGTGTCTCGCGATATTTTTCCTGAATTATTACTATTATCATAATATTATACGCACGCGCATACATGTTATATTTATTGTATATTTTAGAATATATGTAACATAAAAATGATAAACACTGTATTTATATGTATACATATTACTTATACGTTTGAATGCTGTTCTTGTATAAAAGAAATCCAATGTGCGAATATGTTCAGTGTATTACATGTTATTTTTTTCTTTTTTTTATAAAATCTGACATATTAATATATGTTACATGAAAAAGCATAATTGTAGTGTTTTTCGTGTTTTTCCCATCAATTTTATTGGGCAAGACACATTTTACCGGAATACAAACCGTTATTTGGACCAGCATTCTCCTTCCTATTTCAACAGGCCTAGGACTGTCTTCGGTGTGGTTAAAAATGATGTTCCTTATTTTTATTGTTATAATAAAAGCGAACGATTTGTGTACCGAAAACGAATATTACTATTTTTGAAAACATACTATTTACTGAGTTTAGATTTATCGACAGTTGTACACGCATTGCCTAGTTTTGTTTGTAAAACAAAAAAAGTAGGTCTGTGTACTAACCAAAATACTAATTAATATTGTTTTCATTTGATATTGATTACATTGTCTCAATTTCGCCGTTTTATGTGTGTTGTCTTACCATACCTCGATACACAGATATCTATTATATATATGCATACGCGTGCGTAGACTTCCGAGTAAGGTGTGGCTAAATTTCATCTGACCATGCCGCAAAAAAAAATTATAGGCATTTCCCATACAAACTTCGAGAGTGACATGTTGTTGGTGACTGGCAAATGTAAATATCCATTTTTCATTACCTACGATCATTCATATGATTCATCATCATCAATAATGATTTAAGGAAATACTACCGAAAAAACCAATTAAAAAATGTTCAAACCGTATGTGTATATAAATGTGTAAATATATACGTATGTATCATATGTATTAAATGTACAACGTATTCATATAATTTAATAAATTATTAACAATTATTTACGTTAACACTGATTTATAATTCATACATTTGTAAGTTCATGCATAATTATAATACTATGCATACAAATATTATGCTGTCTCTCGTCTGATAAAATAAAAATTACTGTACATATTAGGTAGATATACTTTATATTATTTTATACGGTTATTATACGACTTTATGCTATTCAATTTTTAAACTCGTCAGTCCAAGGGGAGAGGCAGTAATTTTTAATAATTTTATCTCGTTAACATGAATGTAAAACAAAGCTTTAAAATATAAAATATCTTCTTCTGCAATCTGAATTATGATACAGTTAGTTACAAAAATTTGATAATTGATTGTGTATACTTTCTATACAGTCTCTCGATTAAATATACAAACTCTTGAAAACTAATAACCCTACACCTACTTTTAGTCTAAACTTCATAAGGTGTACCCAGTACTCACCCACGTATAGGAAAAGCTGAGGTGGGGCTATAGACCAATCAGCTATACCCGTGTGCACACCTGTGTGTATTGTGTATAGATATAGGTACATATTTAATATAAACTGTGGATTTTTGGTCAGTATCAAAATTGAACCTAAATAATTTATTTATTATTAAATTTACGAATTAGTTTCAGCAATCCAACTGAACGTGTAAGCGAACCTTTATAGTAATAATTAATAAGTTAAATTTACGAATGTAAAATTGGTCCAAGCGAGTTCACCAAATCTTATTCCAAACGAGTTGCAGTTTTATTAGTGGTTCACAAACGTGATTCGCACATTTTATTATTATACGCAAATACCGTATACGTCGTTGGTTTTGGAGACGTCCTTTTTATTTCGTTTACGCTAGCGACACCTGTTAACCAAAACTATAGTATAGCGACGAAATGGACAACGCCATCTAGTGTTTGTATGCAGGACGTTTTAGTCTCCAAATAACCGCTAGAGTGATGTAGCACATCATATATTAAGAGGACACCTGTGTAACGTAAGCATTCAAGTGGTTAAATATAATAATGTGGATAATTGTTGACAAAAAATATTTAATTTTTTATCTACTCAAAAATATTCAAATATAATATAATTTAACATAAATCTGTGACGATTGACAAAATTTTTATTTTTTTTTTAAAATTTGACTTATTTTATAAGCATTTAAAAAATACATAAAAACATAATAATAATATTACTTGTCGATAAACCAGTGCAAACGAAAGACAAAGAAAAACAAGTACACATCGTATAGTAAAATCAATACAATCCTCAGAATCTATAAACAGCTTTTAAAATATTTTTATATGCTCGTGTACTGTTGTTACAACAAGGAAATCTAAATTCATTTGAATGGTTGACATTCAATATTTGACAAATTTAAAAATTCAAACAAGATATAACACTGTACAAAAATGTATAGGAACATGGACGAAGAAAACCAAACCACTAATAATCATATTCTTCTTCATCAATATCCTTAAAATGTTAAATTTATATATATATATCAATAAAGTACATTCACATTTAAACACGTATGTTATCAGGCTCGGCTCAAGCGTTTATACACACGTGAGCAAACTTGAATTTTGCCACCCCTTAAACATGTATAAATACTGTAATACTGAATATTTGAAATGCCGCCCTAAGGCCTGTGTCGCCTATCCCTTGAGTCGAGTCTGTATGTTATAAATATATTCATTGTTATAACAATACTTACTTAATATAATCGGACCCTTTTAAATTGTTATTTCATTAATATCTTATTCGTGGAAACATAGCCTCTCATTTACAATATGATAGATAATCAGTGGCGGATTTAACGGTCGTTTAATCGGCAACTGCCGACGGGACACCACTCCTGAATTGTGTACTGAAGCTCATTTAAATTAGGTATATAGTTGACTTTTTTAAAATTTTGCCTACAAAAAATAAAAAAATATATTGCAAAATGGAATATAATTTGTCATTGTTTTAATAATAAAACAATTAAAATATATAGGAATATTACAAAAGTAGAAATTGTTATAATCAAACAAAGTAAAAATATCGAACAATTAACTAACAGACGTAAATCTAAGTTTTTCTACCTTCTATACCAACTACCATTAATCACAAATAAATAATTATAATGTTTTATAATTATATTAGATGCCACTGCATTACTGTGTAATAATCTCTATGTACGAATGTATGATTTTATAAACAATTTCACCGCATCGGTATAAAATATACCAATAGTCAATAGAATATACATCAAGTTATTCCACATTCACCATTAAACATTCGTTGTCAGATGTGTTGCCCCAAATGGAAACTTATTTAAAATATTTTTATCATTACCCATTGGAAATGCGACTGCTAAAAAAGCCATGAATGTACTAAGATGATGAAAAAATTATCTCCGTTCAACTATGGTTCAAAATCGAACAAGCAATTTAGCCTTACTTTCCATGGAGCATAAAACAGCACAATTTATTTATATTAACGATCTTATTAATAATTTTTCCAAGGTTATAGCTTGCAGAGATTCTCAACTATAATTTTATAATTTTATTTTGTATACTAACTATTAATTTTGTTTTATTGGTAAAAATGGTGTAATTTTTTTTTTTAATTAGAAGGTTTCTTATTATAAAATGAATATAGGTTGGTTATTATTTATCGCAAGCTAAGCGATCGGTTTTGTAAATTTGTGGGAAGTATGTTACTGATACATTTTGTACGAGGGCCCTCTTATGGATTTGTCGACTTTATCTGAGCCCTTAAATCCGCTACTGATTATAATGATAAGTCCTTGAACAAATAATTAATGTTGAAAACTAAATTCTTTTTTAATCTTACCTTATCAATACATACTTTAAAGTCTTCACAAATCCTAGTTGTAAAACACTACGTTCATTTATTAATTTTATTATTAATGGTATATTTTGTATTTTTTTTTTTTTTTTTTCATAACAAATAATATTATAATACGTTTAAAAACTGTTTAAGATTTGTTCAAATGATTGCGTATATAATTTAATAATTCACAACAGAGAAAAAAATAAACATTACATAAGTTAGTTAGTTAAGGTACTGACCCGCTAATTTTATATGATAGAAATGTCTAATAAAGGTACGCTACACGTGCATTTGTTGTTTCCGTCTTACGACGCATGATATAGTAAAAAAATGCTTGCCCAGAATACACAGAAATTGCTTGATGTTGATTTTTGAGTAAAATATCTATTACAAAATCAAATAGAAGAGTATTCTGAAGGGCAAGACGTCGCGTTTTTTTCTGTTTTCTCCGAATATAAAAGTAAATGTGCCGTTTATAAATAACGACATTTTTAATTCTCTAAAACTTTAAACGAAATTTTTTTTCAAAAAAACGTAACGTCTTGACTTCTGAAATATCGTTCTCTATTAATTTTATAATAGGTAGGTTTTACTCTAAAACCAAAACCAAGCGAGTTCTGTGTAGTCCGCGTAAGCATGTTTTTACGATATCTTGAATTTGTAAGACAGAAACAACAAAATATGCCTCTGTAACATCAATATCCAAATATCCGAAATCAATATCCAAATTTATAAAAACAAATATACTTCGGTTTTTTTCCTCTAATTTTAACTCTACTCTTACCCTTGTAAGTAAATCAGCTTTTTTATTACGGGATAATGAGCAATAACGGTAAACGTAAATCTACCAATACTTATATTTCATAACGAAAAACAATGACTTTAATTTTAAACACCAACTATAGGTACTATGTGAAATTAATTGCTTCTTTTTTTATTAATCTTTTACAATGCATTTGTTTTCAAACGAATTGTCAAACTAGGTACCTATTTTAAGTAGGTATGTGTTTTATATGACATCTTATTATAATATCAATTTTATACCTTTTTGAATATGTCTAGAAAACTACGAAAAAAGATAAGAAAATTAAATGTAAGTTATGTATAAAATTGAATACAAATATTATTACAAATGATATAGCTAGGTGTACAAAAAGGTTACACCTATACCTAATTTAACATTTTTATGGTCATAACTCATAAATCTTAATCATAGACCCTGGTGCATTGTTC